TGGCGCAGGCCCCGTACCGTGTGCAGTGGGCGGCCGACTATGAGCCCTACGTGGTGGTGCCGCGAGACTGTCCCCGCTATGACCCTCGCTTTGTGGGCTTCGGCTGGAACAAGGTGGCCCACATCGTGGAGCTGGATGCACAGGTGAGGAGGGTCCTTGCTGCCTCCAGGCCCAGGAAATGCACTACACCTCTGGGTGGTGGCCCACACCATTAGGCAGTCCTATTAGAAACCTCCCCCCTCTGCAGGAGTAGAATTGTCGGCCTTTGGCCGCGCTTAAGCTCTCAGGGGCTGCAGAGCAGGCGGCTCTCGGAGCTGCATCTTCCTAGAGCCAGACAAGCCCACAGCCGTTGTCCCTGTGCCCGCCCTGCAGGAATACGAGCTCCTGGTGCTGCCCGAGGCCTTCGCCATCCACCTGCCCCATGCGCCAAGCCTGGACATCTCCCGCTTCCGCTCCAGCTCCTCCTACCGTGATTGCCTCCAGGCCCTCAAGGACGAGTTCCACCAGGATCTGTCACGTCACTATGGGGCTGCCGCCCTCAAATACCTCACAGCCCTGCAGCAGCCCCGGAGCCCTGCCTGAAGCTTCTGAGGGTGGGCTTGTGCAGACTCACCCCTGCCCCTCCTTAGCGCTCGTGCACCCCTGCAGATACTGGAGTGACCCTGCCACTCCACCAGCCCTCCCACCATCACTGCTGTTAAATTTACTTAAAGTCTTTGGAGAGGGCTGGGGGTAGAGTATCCGGGCGTGAGGTCCTTCCCTTGCTGCTATTCTATGGCTGGGATCTGGCCTCCTGCTCCAGCCGGTTTGGGGCTGGCTCCCCCATCTTTAATTACGCATCCCTTTTTCATAATTAAAGTTCTACAAAACTCTCTTCCTGTTTCTCCTGGTTTGACAGACCAAGGGCTCCCTGGGGTGTAAGGGCACCGGTGAGCAGGGGAGGTGCCAAGTCTGGCTGGAGTCACGGAAGGGCCTGGGCCCTTGTTCCCCGACAGCAGGAGTCCAGGGAGGGCAGTGGCTGGGACTGGAGTGTGTCTTCCCCTCCCGCCCCTGCCCCAAACCCAACACCATGAGGCTGGGAGACTTTATTTGGCTTTATTTAGTAAAATGTTAAAATAAATAAATACAAATTGATCAGATGCTCTGTATCCCCCCCACCCCCTCAAAACAAAAACCAAACGAACAAAAACAAAAACTTTGAAGCACAAAACTCCAAATACAAGTTCTACCAAGACTGAAATCACAAAGGGCATGGACAAGAGACAGGACTGGGGTCTGGCTGGCTCTTCTCTGCTCGGAGCTTGCTGACCTCTGGCCTGCCCGTCCCACCCTGCCTGACCGCAGCTCGCCCTGGGCTGAGGACCAGCAACGCCGGGGAGAGGTGAGGGCCAAAGGCCGCCGTGGGGGTTGGTGGAGTCCTGGGGAGGAAGGGTCTGGGGGGATGCCAAGCGGAATCTGTGTGCCCTGCCTACCCTCTGGCTGTGTTTCGGAGTTTTTACCCCAGCTCTCTGGAGGGTATCCCCTGGCACTTCCCCTGCCCCACTCTAGCGGGAGGGCCAGAGGACTCTTCCCAGGGGCCACCTACTCCCTTCCTGGAGAGGAGCTGACACAAAGGACAGGTCTAAGTCAGGGTGAGAAGGGGCTCCTGCTTCCTGCCACGGGTACCTGCTGGGGGGTGGGGGTGAGGTCCACAGACATTTCCTCAGAGCAAAGCTGCCTCCAGCCAACAGAAGCCAGACATCTGGAGAAGCCAGGGCCTGGACGTGCACCTGGCCACCATCCATCCTCCTCCCCTAAGAGCCCTCTGCCCCTGGGCAAAAGTCTCCTAAACACAGCCCTTTAGACACATATGAAGGCCCACACCCTAGAAGGGAATGAAGGGAGGAAGATTAAGAAGAGTGCATGAGCTGGAAAGCTGGAGGTGAGAGCCCAAGAGGCTCTGATGGCCCCAAGAAAGATGTGTCAGAGAGGTGTGCACGTGGAGATGGAAGCGAGCTGTGAACAGCCGGCCTCCCAGGAAGAGCCATGTGCCACTGCACCCCTTCACACCGCCCATCAGGCCGGAGCCAAGAAGCAGCAAGGACGGGCAGGCCCTGCATGGGAACCAGGCACTCGGTGGTGCCAGGCAGAGGCTTCCTGGGCCTTGTTGCGGGCTCTCAAGGCAGGCCCCGCCCAGGTAAGGCCCCACCAGGGACTGCCCCTAGCTGGGCCTCCTGTCAGGGACAACCAGCAGGCTTGCCTCAAAGGGCCTGATAAGGAAGGAAGAAACGAGAACCCTGGATGAGTTCAGCGCAGGTGAGACAAGACCCAGCAGGCTCCCTCAAAGAAAAGGGGCCTGCAGGCAGGGATTCTGGCAAGAGCTGGAGATGACAACAGCATGACCTCACTGCCCCCGGCGCACGGCACCTGAGGGGGACTGACAAGGGGACTCCCAGGCCACACCCAGTGGGCACCCGCGCCCTGCTCTCTGAAGCCACCGGAAAGCCGGCTGGTCTCAGGTAAGTGGCTGTCAGAGAGGCTAAGATCTGGGTAGCCGAAGGGAGAAGAAAGAAGCAAGTGGAGGCAGCTCAGATGGGCGGTGTCATGAGTACATGTCTCAGGTAGTCACAGGCACCCACAGGTCTGGGGAAACAGTGAAGGAAAAGGAGGTTGAGTGACACAAGCCTCTTTACAGTAAAGCAGTGTTTTGGAATTTTGAGTCCAGAAGGTAGGTTCGAGGGGCAGGGCTATGTCCTGTATTCTATACTAGCCGACTCGCAAAACAGCTCGTATCTGAACATCAGAAGGAATCCACACTCCAGCTTTTAGGTTGAGGTCAGAATTAGTCAACACAGCCCAGAGCAGCAGGCAAAACAGCGGTCAAGTACCTAGCCCTGTCCCCCACTCAAGCAAGACTCCTGGGGCAGCTCCTCTCCCAGCAAAGGCCTCTAATGAAGATGGCTTCCCAGTCTCTTTCAAGAAAAGATAGGTATTGTGTGGCAGCCCTGGCCTATGGGCCCAGACAAGTTAAGGGGGAGAGCTCACAGACAGGGCAGGCTGCCTGCCGCTGGTCTCGGATCCTCCGCCAATGATTCCTCCAACAAGTCCAGGCATCTCCAAAGCTCCCTGACTAGACGTAGCACCTTGGTTTCTGAACGAGAAAAAAGGGTCCTTCTCTTTCTCCCTCAACCAACCGAGCAGCCAGGACTTCACTCTAGCGGCCTGTGCCGCCAAACTGGATTCCTGCTTCTGACGTCCACGGGAAGGTGAATGGATACGGACAAGGAAGATTTAGCTTAAGAAGCATCTCCTCCCTGCTGTGTTTGCTTTCAAGATTTTTGCCTCTCTGGGCCTCAATGGGTAAGAGAGAAGCTAATGGGACCTTTCCCGCCACTTCCAGACTCTGACCAATACTGGGGCCTGGAGTGGCCCTGGGGAGACACTCCGATGGGGCCAGCATACAGAGGCTCGGCCTCCCTCCCATCAGCCAGGGGCACACAATGGGCAAAGGTCCCTGGCGAGAGCACACATCTGACACAATTTATTACCCACAAGGCAAGATGAGGGAAACGGTCTGAGCCTTTCAGAACCCTGGTTTTCTCGAGGAGAGACCACTGTAGGCCAAGCCACGCACAGCAATTCTAGCCAAAGGTCATTCGGGAAGCTTCTGTGTGGGCGGAGTAGTGTAAATTCCATCTCTGGTGCCTGGAGCCAGCAGGCAGAGAAAGTGGCTGGAGCTTCAGACTTCTCTCTTCAAAGGCAAAACAGCAAAGTCTACCCTGGACTCTCTGTCTTAGAGATACCACGTACCCTCAAGACAGCTCACTCCTGGGTTCGTTCTAAGCACCAAGGGCTGATGCAGCCAGCCCGCAACTGCGCCCTCCCCGCCAAGGCCGGGTGCATGGGCACCACTGAGCTCCACGGGCCACTTCCCTAGACGCATCTCCCAGGCACTCGTAATGCTGGTGGCTGAAAGACCAAGAGCAGCACCAAAGGAAAGGATCTTAGGCACCAGCCTTTCGCTCTAGCAAAATCTGAGGAGGCCACAGGGAAGGGCCCTGGTACCATCCACACTCCACCTGGGCTTCAAGAATGCAAGACAAGATCCCTGCACCAAAAAGAGAGGACGGTCCTTTCTGAGGAGGAGAGAACAGTGGGGAGCCCCGCCCCTGCCCTTCACGGAGACCGGCCCACTGGTCTGGAGACACACACGCAGCAAAACGTCATCGTGATCAGCAGGTTCTGTGCTAAAAAATTATAACTACACAGCATTTTCTCCAGTTCTGACACCTTTTTAATAGAAATCACTGTTTTTAGGAAACAAATAGCACTTTTGTAATTTTTTTTACAATGTTTCTTACCTTGATCTTAATTTAAGTAACACTAGGAAGACCTCAGTATCTTTTATTTTCCTTTTTAATTTAAAAAAAAGTTGTTGTTGTTTTCCCCAGATACAAAGATTTTTTTGCCCTTGCATAAAAAACAGTGCCCAAACGATGACACAAGGACTCACAAAGACTCACTGGACCTCACTGACACTATGATTCCTACTCTACCATGCAAGGTCTCGACTACCCTTAACTGGACTGTCAGTCTGAAAAACAGCTTTTCTATTCCTTATTTTAGTTTTTGTTACCAAGAAAGTAAAATGAACAATAAAATAAAACTTCCTTTAACGAAAAAAAATAACAGAAACAAAAATTAAAAAAAGAGAAAAGAAACGTCTCCATTCACTTCACACACACCTGGGTCGCGCGCTGCTTCGCTCAGGATCTTCTCTTCTTATAAATATAGAAAAGGGATGGAGCTTGTTTTCAAGTAAAATCACTGATCCACCTTTTTTCCTTCCGGGACACACACACCCTTCTTCCCTGCCTCAGGCAAGGGCCAGCGCCCCGGGCTCTGCTTGTTCTTGGAGAGGAGACAGAACGGGATCACCATGAGGATGCGCGATTCACCAAGCAGGGAAAGAGCGGACCGCGAGGCTTCGGGAGCGGTGGGGGGACCCGGCGGGAGGGAGCGCTCGGGAGAAGACCCTACTGGCTGTTCCTGGTGTCCAGCTCCCCTCGCACTAGGCTCCTCCCGACAGTGTGAAATACTGCTTATTTAATCTACCTTCCCACCCCCTGCTCCCTCCCAGCCACTCCCCTTCCCTCTTCTGGGCACTGGGGTTGGTTAAATCTCAATTCCTTTTTTTGGTTTTATAGTAGTGAGAGTTTAGAAACAGGAAAGCCCACACATTCTTTGGACTTGTCTTCTCTACCTCAACAAACGGCTCGGCAAGTAAGGATCTGAAACCTGCTCTCCTCCCTCCGCCCGTCCCTGCTCCCCACCCAAGAAAACAGAAACAAACCCATCGTGGCTGTGGAGGCTGCTGCAGGCACACACTGGTGTATAATAGAGAGAGTAAATATATTATTTCACTTGGCATGGTGCTGGCAAAGAACCTCCAGCTGGCACTATTTCATGTAACATGGTCCAATCTTTGCATGTACACACAGAATAAGAAGGATCAATTGGCAAACTCTGGTGCCACCTGGCACAAGCATCTTCTCTCTCTCTGGAACCAAAGAACCAAAAGAATTCTGCACTTTTCAGAAGAAATCCGGCTTTGCCTTTCTAGAGTCTTCAGTGTTTTGCCCTCCTTGCCACTGGGATCCTGTGGCTTCTCCTAGAGGAACTCTGTTATTTAGTCTCTTCCCCGGGGTTACAGTTCACTGTGCAACTCTGGGAGGAGGGGGAAGGGGCCGGCGTGGAGGTGGTGGCGTTGGCAGGGGGGGTGCAGTCCGGGCCGTTGGAGATGGCCCCCACAGTGGCCTCAGAGTCTACAGGTTTGGAGAGGTCGATGCCGTGGATGAGGCGAATCAGCTGTTTTACCTTCTCCAGGGAGCTGTGCATCTCCTTCTGCCGGGCCAGGATGGTGTTCTTCATTTCCATGCATTTCTGCAGCAAACGAGAAGGGCGGTGGCACTGAACCCCCTGCTTTTCTAGCAGGCCTGGCAGCCCTGAAGTAGTCCCCTCTCTGTCCAGGTGAAAGAGTCCCCACCGGTTGGTCTGCTCCCAGTGGAATGGGTGGCTACTACCTAAGGAACAGGGCGGGTGGCGTAGGGAGCATGCACACAAAAGCACTAGCACTCACAACCAAGCACAACAACTAGAATACTAAGAAACATATGCTATTTTAAAAAGTCCCCCCAGCTGCCCTGGAGCTGGTTTAGGCAGGTTCCGAAATGCCTCTGACAACCTAGTGGTTATCTTCAGGACTAGACTGAGCTCTCCAAGGTAGGAAATGAGCCAGGGATATCTGTATTCACTCTGAGGGCATGCTTGAAGGTCATTCGGTCAGCAGGAATTTAGAAGGCGGGCCAGTGACACTTAGGAGAATCTAAGATAGCCCCAAGGCCAAAGGGCTGCAGTCGACAGAATGCCTTTTGCTTGGTCTTTTGCCCTTTTATCCTCAGCCTACCACACCTGCTGGCTTCTGTTTTAGGCAGGTAAAGATATGGTAAGTCTGCATGCTGTGGGTAGGTACGGTGAGAAGGAGAAAGCAGGTGAGTGGGACAGTTCAACTGCCACCACTGGTGTCTGTGAAGGCTGAGGTCACCTTACTCCAACAAGGATGACCTACTCAACGAAAAAGAACACTGGTTCCTTGCCTAGGAGGAGCCTCTGTCCCCTTGCTGCAAATACAATCGTCTTTTGCACCTGGACAGGCGGAGTTAGGCAGTACTGGTCTCTAAAAACCCCTCTTCCTCACACTGCTCAGGGGAACTGGGCAATGCAATCAGTGCCATGTGGCAGAAAGGGATTGAGAGAAGGACCCACTGGCTCAGGTGACTGGAAAGAATCACATAAGGGCACCTGGTCTGTGCCTGCTCAGTTAGCGTCAGGTGAGGCTCGACGCTCCTCCCAAACACTCTCAGGAGTATGCAGGGTAGTGGCTACACTGCTGGGGCTGTTACTTCATCTCTTCAGCCTGGAAACTGAAAAACTCTCTCAGATTAAAGCCAAGAGGATGTTCCAGAGCTTGGGTAAGGTACCATATGCCACTGGCCACCTGTACCAGAGGGCCGAACTCTAACTGGAAGGCAAATTTTGCATGTGCTCATCACATTAACGAACAGGGGCGGGCACAGCTTTGGGTCCACATGAACTGTTACACACATGGAAAGATCTGCATCTATGCACCTGTGTCTCTACTGCTGAAAGCGTGAGGTTTACTTACACTTATAGAATTGCTGAGCTGTTTCACCTTTTGCTCTAGTTGTTCTCGTTCTTGTTTTAAATCTGAACTCCATTTAAGTAACTTCTGTTTCTCTTCTTCTTTCGCTAAAAAACAAAACAAGCAAACCAGTTTTTAACAATTCTTTGAGATGTCAGCATGCTTACCAAAGAAGTGAGCCAGTGCACAGAACCTGTAAACCTGGACTCTGCCTTTTTCTGTGTGTAGGCCTACGAAGAAAACTGTCAGTGGCTTGGCCCTGGCTTCATAAGATATCACTTCTCATTCTTTCTCCCCAAGGAAGTGCTACACATATTTTCCATTTCATTCAATAAAAGGTTTTCACTTTCAACTTTAAATTTCCTTTTGAAAATTAAACAAATACTGCCTTCCAGTTCTTTTGCTTTTTCAAACAAGGGGAGGCTTACAAAAAGGGGTATGGATAATTCTTTACCTGCTTTGTAGGCAATATAGGAATGAACAATCGCTAAAGTTCCAGGCCATGGAATTGCTTCTTCCTTCTTCAGCATCTGAAAAGATTTTAAAATTTTACCTTGAGAAGGAGGCTTATACACACATTCTCTTTGAAACAGCTAGGAGTGGTGTCTGTGGCTATTGGCAAACAAAATCCAAGAAGGATTTATGGTAGCAGTGTTGAAAAACCCTGGTGTATAGTTTCTAGACTAAAAAGTTCTCAATATCAGCCCAGAAGAATGAAGTTCAGAGGCAGGAAGAACAAGACACTTGAGCCCAGGCTTAGAAAGAGGCTCGGTGGGCACTCCTATCTTTTCATGCACACCACATTATGCCCAACCACTGCCGACACCTAGAACCACCAACACAAAAGCTGCACATCAGTATGATGGCGGCAACTACTGGCAGTCTCCCCACTGATCTGACATGGGCTGCCTGTATCAATTTTAGCTTTATAAGTCCCTCAAAGACAGCCTGACCAAGGAAATTAGCTATTAGGTCCAAATACTAAAGTATAATCTAGACCCTGTGACAAAAATTATCAGAGGGTCACAAAGCAGCATTAGGAAGAAGACAGAGACAGAACCGCCTTACTCCACCTTAGAGATTGCAGGATGAGGACCAAGATTAAGAGGGAAAACCAGAGTTCTTTCAAACCAGAATTCCAAAGAATTGAGTAGGAGTCCAATGCTTGCTGAGCTACTGGGCTTATTTATTTATTATTTATACTTTGCCTACTTCTGAAAAAGACTTGAGACAGCTTAAAATAAAATCATAAACACATAAAGATACATGGATAGTTGAGAAAAATATATCAGAAACCAAATAGAGAAGGAGGTGAGAACAGTTAGTAATATTTGCCTTTCAAGTCCATGAAATATCAAGGCAGTACTTAACAGTTAGCAATCTGAGCCTGCTGACAATATAGGTTAAAAGTAAAATGGCTATTATTTTAATTAATCAACTGGGGACTTCCCTTTAAGGATTTAATCCCAAAGAAGAGTTTCAGGCTGGGTGCGGTGGCTCAAGCCTGTAATCCCAGCACTTTGGGAGGCCAAGGTGAGGGGACTGCCTGAGCCCACAGGCTCGAGAACAGCCTGGGCAACCTGGCGAGACCTCGTCTCTACAATAAATCAAAAAATTAGCCAGGCATGGTAGTGCGTGCCTATAGTTTCCAGCTTCTTGGAAGGCTAAGGCAGAAGGATTGCCTGAGCCCAGCAGGTCAACGCTGGGGTGGCGTGAGTGTGCCACACTGCACTCTAGCCTGGGCAACGGAGTGAGACTCCAATACATAAAAAAGAAGAGTTTCAAAACCATATACTGGGTTTGGACCACTCTTAGAGAATGGGTTAGAGGACCTTGTAGGGTCCTGACTTTTAAGGAGAAGATCGGTCATTTCAAATATGAGGAAGCAGCTGGCATCTATCCACCTCAGTAACACAGGGTGGGGTTGGGGGACCTCTGAGGGAACAAAGGCTGCGTGCCTGAGTGCTGTGCCAAGCACAGCGAAGATTCAGCCTGGAGAAGAACAGTTGGGAGAGAAGAGATTCTGCCATTCCCCAGGAAAAGACATCCTCATGTTTACCACTCTCCACTGTGGCCCCTCACCTGTCTGACCCACCCACAGTACCTGGTCCTGACACCTGGGACAGATCCACATGCCCTTGGGAATCGTTTTCAGAGGAGGGTCTAAGCAGTCCAGATGATACACTCGGGAACACGTGTCGCACATCAGCAACTGGCCGCTTTTTCTGCAAACACTGCAAAAATCCTCATGGATATCACCCTATAAAATTGAGAGGAAAGGTAAGGAAAAGGAGAAACAAGGTAAAATTTAAAGTTAACATGCACATTCTGGATGCATATAAATGTTTGGGACAATCAGCTGCCTTGCTCAGGAGTGTTCAAGAACAGCAGGAATCATGAATGGCACAGGCTACCCACTCTGCTCCATGCAGCGGAGCCTCCCGGGAGGGACCAGGGCGGAGGCCCCTCTCATCCATCGGGGCTATGTTCCAAGCCTCTCAGCAGATGCCTGCAGGTTCGGATGGTGTGAACCCTATCTATACTCTATGATTTTTCCTGTATATACCTACTCCTGATAAAGTTTAAATTATAAATTAGGCACAGATTAACAACAATAACTAATACAACAGGACAATGATAACAACATACTGTAATAATGTTACATGAATGTGTTGGCTCTCAAAATATCTTAGTATTTTTGGACTGTGGTTGACCATGGGTAGCTCAAACCACAGAAAGCAAAACTTCAGGTTAAGGGGTTACTACTGTATTCTTGAATTAAATGAACATTTACAGGACTGCTTCATAGTTGCCTAGGCTACAATTAACTTTATAAGTGATAGCTAAGCTTTTGCTTTGATAGACGCAAACCCATAAATCATAAATTTTTTAGGCTCTGAAATAAATCCATTCGTCAATGTATTTCACAATATGATACAAACAATTCTCATCACCTATCAATTTTGGAGGGAGTTTAGAATAATTGGGAAAGAAGACAAAAAATGGAGTTTTACTGAACTCCATGCTTGCTCAGGGAGATAAAATATAGTGAAAGTTCAAATGGGAAAGGACTGAGTTAAAAGCAAATTAAACTCAAATGAGTTTTCTAAAATGAAGAATTTAAAAAGCCAAAGCAACAGCTGACAATGTTCTCCTGAAATCAGTGTTTTGCATTTGCTGTTCAACGGACCATTCTATTCTGGAGGCTTTAGCCCTATAAAATACTTCACCAGCTGGAAAAAAACAAGCAGCCCCAGTCCACTCTGTCTGCCTCTCTCCCACCCCCGTCAGTGACAGTTTTACTACTCAGGTAAGTCTGCTGGAACCCTCTGAACAAAAGGCACTATCAGAAAAAAGCAGATCTACCTAAAATTTAAACAGAAGAACACAGGAAAACAAGATCTATTAAAAGAGGCACCTTTCAGCAAGTCAATCAAGAACTTGTGCTCTGGATGGGATTAATCCCACTGATAAGGACACCAGGGAAGGAAAGACTGAAGGGACATGCCAGAGGTGACTCAGCAAGTCAGGCCAGTGTGTTGCTTTGGTTGACTGGGCTATTCTGCCAGAAGGTCTATCACAGAAATTGTGCACAGGAAGCAATGATACAGAGGGCAATGCTGGGTCACTCCTTCCTATGATGTAATCCCTCTACCATTTATAACCCTTTCACCACCACTGAAGAACTCAACTTCAGTGTGGTCCTCCATGGGTCTACAATTTCTCTATACAGGAATGGACATTTTCTCTATAATTCACTAGGGTATCTAGCAGCTTAGAAAAGGGACTACAAAAATTATACACCATAATTTGGATGGATTCTCATCTGTCTTAGTAAGAAAATGTTGACTCTGGGCAGTAAAAAATACAACACATGTGCACAAATATTATATGTGAATGCAACCTAATAGCTGAACTTCTGAGCCGGGCACGGAGGCTCAAGCCTGTAATCCCGGCACTTTGGGAGGCTGAGGCGAGAGGACTGCCTGAGCCCAGGGGTTCGAGACCAGCCTGGGCAACTTGGTGAGACCTTGTCTCTATATCAAAAAAATTAAGCCGGGCTCGGTGGCTCAGCCTATAATCCCGTGCTTTGGGAGGCCGAGGTGAGTGGATTGCCTGAGCCCGAGGGTTCGAGACCCACCTGGGCAGCTTGACAAGACCTCATCTCTAAAATAAATTTAAAAAATTAGCTGGGCGTGGCAGCGCGCACCTGTAGTTCCGGCTACTTGGAAGGCTGAGGCAGAAGGATTGCTGGAGCCCTGCAGGTCGAGGCTGCGGTGGCCACTCCAGTCTGGGCGACAGAGTGAGACTCCAACTCAAAAAAAAAAAAAAAAATTAGCCAGGTGTGGTAGCATGCGCCTGTAGTTCCAGCTACTTGGAAGGCTAAGGCAGAAGGATCGCCTGAGCCCAGCAAGTTGATGCTGGGGTGGCCATGAGCATGCCACTGCACTCCAGCCTAGGTGACAAAGGGAGACTCTGACTCAAAAAAAAAAAAAAGCAGTTGAACTTCTAGGTACCAAAAGATGTAAGGTTCTATCCCTGGATTAACCGTAACTTTCTTTCTTATTAAAATTAGGCTGAGGGGTACTCTTTTCCCCTAGAGGTTTCTTAAACCTTAGTCCCAAGTTGTAAGTCTGCTTCCTTATAAAGTTTATTTAAAAATCTGTGGTTTCAGAGACTGTTTTACATGAACCATAGATAAAGTTATCAGTGATGAAATGAGTAAGACAAACTGGACATCTTATTCAGAGGGGCTTGCTGGGTTAAACAGAGATCTATTCACTTTGCTCCTGAGTAAGGAAAACATCAAGAAATAGAAGGCAGAAAGTACAGAAAATAAAGGTTCAATATTTTTTTTGAATTTCTAAAGGAAAGAAAACCTCCTACTCTATTTGCATGCCCTATGGTAGTAATTCCTAATATTTTTTGTGTTAGAATCTCTTTATAATCTTAAAGTTACTAAGGACCCCAGAGAGCTTTTATATGAGTTTTATCTATTGATATTTACTGTAATAAAAGCTTTAAAACTTTAAATTTTGAAATAATTACAGAATCACAGAAAGCTACAAAAATAATGTATTGAAAAAAAAAATTGAACCCAGGAACACACAGCTACACATTCCATTAGTTGTCAGAGTGATGCCACCATCACACACCACGCAAAATCTGGAAGACTCCACAATTAAGTCTTGAGAGAATGACAGTGAAATGGCAAATGATGTTTTAGTATTATTATGAAAATAATTTTGATTTTATGACCCCCTGAAAGAGTTTTGGGGACTCCCAGACTACGCTTCAAGCACTGCTGCCCAAAGAAGTGAATATAAAATGCCAAGATATTTTATCCATACAGAATTGGTTCTTTGCCTAAATACAGAGAGCAGAGGAAGTACCACAGAGGCACTACACCAAGTATAAAAGACTTAGGCTTTGGTGACTAACCAAATTACTGCCATAAACCAAATGGTAAGGTGAAAGACAACTGACCCATTGTTCTTTGCCAGGAGCTGAGGATGTATGCTTTCAGGAAACACGCTGGCGATATTAACTGCAAGATCATCATGGACTAAAAAATTTTTTATAATTTTATCAACATTATCTTCCCTTTTCATAAAAAATAATAATAGCGGCGATAAGATACATCTTGAGGGTTAGGGTCTAGCTGGGTCTTGTATTATCAAGTTCTTCTACATGGCTAGTGATCCCCAGAAATGCCTGCCTCTCCACTATTATTTAATTAATGCTGTTAGGGCTTATGCTACCCAGCAGCAAACAATACAGAGCCTTGCATGTTGATTTTATCGCTGCCACTGTTGGGATACTATAAAAGTAGAAGTCAATTATCTTTAAAAAAATTACACTGAGTTTAACTTAGGGAGCTCTAAACATATTTAGTGGTTTCAGAAAAGTTTTCTTTTACTTTTAGGTTTCTGAAAAACACAGTGTTTATACTGAAACCTTGGCTGAGCATCGTGGCTCGAGCCTGTAATCCCAGCACTTTGGGAGGCCAAGTCAGGAGGACTGCTTGAGCCTAGGAGTTCGAGACTAGCCTGAGCAACACAGCGAGACCTTGTCTCTACAAAAAATAAAAATAAAAAAATTAGCCAGGCGTGATGGTATGTGCCTGTAGTTCCAGCTACTCAAGAGGCCGAGGCGGAAGGACTGCCTGAGCCCAGGAGGTCAGGGTAGCGGTGAACTGTGATCACGCCACTGCACTCCAGCCTGGGCAACAGAGCAAGACCCCAACTCAAAAAACAAAAATCACCTTTAAATTTCTGAAAAGGGCTGTGCTCGATGGCTCAGCCTGTAATCCCAGCACTTTGGGAGGCCGAGGTGAGTGGATTGCCTGAGCCCACAGGTTTGAGACCTGCCTGGGCAACTTGGCGAGACCTCGCTACCACGCCAAGACCTAGCCAGGCGTGGTAGCATGCACTCAGAAGGCTGAGGCGGAAGGATCACCAGAGCCCAGCAGGTCAAGGTTGTGGTGGCCAGGAGTGTGCCACTACACTCCAGTCTGGGCGACAGAGGAGACTCCAACTCAAAAAAAAACAAAAAAAAATTTCTGAAAAGAACAATGTTTATATTTTAAGATGAAACCTGGCAGAAGCTCTTAGTTTGTGATTTGATATAAGTGGATTCTCTGGGTTCAGTCTCTCAAAGAAAACCATAAACCTTTTCAACCAAAGGAAAAAACAAGAAAACAAAAATGGAAAAAGACTCATACAGAACCACAAAATCATCTGTCTCCCAGCATGTGTACACCACTCAGAGGGAACGCTCTACCAAAAAGCCAATGAGCTGGTGATCCTCTGGCAATACTTCAACTGAGAAAAAGCTGGGAAAATCTTTGGTGCCAATAAACAAGGTTTCGTTTGGGGAATCCTGATGTTCACTAGCAGGACAGTTAGAAAACCTGTATCAATTACTAATGCCAAAAGTCAGGAAAGTTGGACAAAATGCTGAATTGTTAGAGCGATGAAGAGTCTGTAGCCACAAGCTCTGCCCAAGGAAGGAAACCTGTCAGAGAACAGAATTCTTCTGTAACCCTGATCCTCCAAAGAGAACCTTTTCTTCGTTGCTTCTGAAACTTTAACTCAGATGTTCATATAGTATTCTTTTGCTCTTTGGAGAGGAGTTTGCCATTAGCAAGTTCTGAGAACCTTCAAGTTAGAGGGATATTTTACCTTAAGATGGTCAAAGACAAGCTCTGTAACTCACAAAAGAACCGACACGTACAAAATGAAACTCTTGGTTTCTTCCTCAAACCTGCTCCTCTTGTAACCTTGAGTAAATGGCAGCTTCATCTTTCTAGTTGTTTAGGCCAGAAACTCTGGATTTAACCTCGACTATTTTCTTCTTCTCATAACTCGTATTTAGCCCTGATGGCTCCTCAAAATACATGCAGACTCGATCACCTTTCTCCATATTTACTTCTGCCATCTTATTAGGCAAAGCTATCATCATCATTTCTTGTCTGGATTACTGCAAAAGCCTCCCACCCAGCTGGTCTCCTTGCTTCCGTCCTGTTCTCCACATAGGTCCTTTTCTTCTTCATATTTTGGACATAGTGATTTTTTTTTTTTTGGGGTAGGAATTTCACTCTGTTGCCCAGGTTGGAGTGCAGTGGCATGCTCATGGCCACTGCAACCTTGGTCGGCTGGGCTCAGGTGATCCTTCTGCCTCAGTCTTCTAAGTAGCTGGGACTACAGGTACACAGTATCACGCCCGGCTAGTTTATTTGTATTTATTGTAGAGATGAAGGCTCGCCAGGTTACCCAGGCTGGTGGCGAACCCCTGGTCTCAGGCAATCCTCTTGCCTCTGCTTTCCAAAGTGTAGGATTACAGGCATGAGCCACCACGCCCAGCCAACAGTGATCTTTTAAAATCCAAGTTGATTTTGCAAATGCCTTAAAAATAATAAGTGCAGGTAAGAATCTTCAAAGGATGCTAAAACCATTGGGTAACAGTTTGCTGGGAAACTAGATATTTATACAGACTTAAAGCTGTCTCCACCACAGGAAAAATGTACATTTACAAGTGGAAAAATTGGATGGAAACGACCTCAAGAGTTAAGATCACAACCAACGGGACAGACTGACATCACGAGCCTCCTGTCATGAAGCACTAAGAAGGACCCACTGCCACTTATCAGTGTTCCTCCAAGAATGTATACCTTGAATCTACTGTTGAAGAACAGACAATCCAAACGGAGCAACTGGCTATCTTTTTAAAAATGTCAGTGCTATAAAAGACAGAGAAAGGCGGAGGAACTGTTCTATAATTACGGAGACTAAAGAGACAATATAGCAATGAACATCAAGAGTAATCTTGGATTGGATCCTGGAGCAGGAAAAACCAAGTGTCACAAAAGTAAGTACTGGGACAATTGGAGAAGTCTGAACATGGAGTATATGTTATGTACTAATATTTTACCAATGTTAAATTTCCTCAATTTGATAAATGCATTGTATCTATGTAAGAGAGTATATACTTAGGAGATATATACTGAAATAACCTTGTGGTGAAGATTCACAAGGTCTGCAACTTATTATCTGGTTCTGCAAAAAAAGTGTGTAGGTGGAAAGGGATGACTGGTAACAACTGGTGATTCAAGTGAAGGATATACACATGTTCTTTGTACCATTAGTCTAACTCTTCTGTAGGTTTGATTTTAAAAGATAAAAATTGAAAAATTTGCTAGGCACAGTGGTTCACGCCTGTAATTCCAGCACTTTAGCAGGCTGAGGTGAGAGGATTGCCTAAGCCCAGGGGTTTGAGACCAGCCTGGGCAACTTGGCAAGACCTCTTCTCTATAACAAATCAAAAAATTAACCAGGCGTAGTGGCGCGTGCCTGTAGTTCCAGCTACTTGGAAGAGGTGGAAGGATCACCTGAGTCCAGCAGATCGAGGCTGCCGCTGGCTTTGAGCATGCCACTGCACTTCAGCCTGTGTGACAGAGTGAGACTCCAACTCAAAAAAGGAAAATTGAAAAACTTCAGCACTCTTCTAATCAACACCCTCTATCCACAAAAAGCTGCACAATCGGCCCCACCACCTCTGGGGTCTCATCTTCCACCACTATGGCCAGCATTGTCTGCTGCGGCTGTCCCGGCCTTCTTTTCTTTCAACCTGCCGTGCATACTCCAACCTCAGAGCTTTTGCACTGCTGTTCCCTCTGCATAGAACACTCTTCCCCAAGGCATTCCCACGTTTCACTCCTTCACCTCCTATTTGAGAGGCTTTCTCTCACCACTCTTCATAGAACATCAATCTCCTGCCATTACACCTTATTCCTTTAATCTATTCCATTTCTCTGCAAAGCACTTTTCATCACTTGACATATTACATATTTGCTTTCTTATCAACTGCCTCTTCCCATGAAATATAAGCTCCTTGAGGGCAGGGGGCTTTGTTCCCTGCTATGTCTCCAGCCTCAAGAAAAGTGCTTGCTCCGCAGAGCAGCGCTCAATAAGTATCTGCTCAATAAACTTAGTGCTTTGTTCATTTAAATATTTAGGGCATTCACATTCCTGCAGTTTGTGGGTAAAGGGCTACTAAGTATTTGAAAGTTTTTCAGAAACTTGTTTCTGATCAACTTGGCTGAATAATGTTGCTCTCAAGAAAACTTCTCACTTCTGGAATTGTATTTGAAGCAGCAAACAAGGGCTGCTAGGGGAACGTATGCCTTGTGCATTTTCCCTACTTCCAAAACACTGATGACAGAAACCTGTATACTTCTCCATTATATGAGCTGATTTCCCCACCCCGCTTGTTTTCTGGGAACTCATTCACAGCAGATCAAAATCAGACTCTAAAGGTTAACTAAGCTCCCTGATACTGTATGTAACATGATTCTCAAGAACATGGAAAGCCTGGAACCCTAGAAGAAAGCATCCCATAGGTTTTACTGCTGCTCCAGGGTTAGTCAAGAAGGTGCGAATTGGTAAGGAAACGACATATGATAATGCTTTACCCAATTTAAGCTCTCGGATAGCAACATATGATAACTTGCTTTTCACGTTACTTACGTCTGTGGAGGTGGGGCTGGGCAGGGACACAGGCTGAACAGGTGCAGGGAAAGTGAATGTGGTCTCTGTCTTTTCACTTTCAGGGGAGTCAGGATGACTGGATGGGGGGGATGTTGGGGTAAGGGCTCCAAACCCCAGCACTGCATTGTATTTTGGAGGACGACCTATATACCGAGAGAAGGGAACAAAAGGGAAAAGGGGGGAGGGAAAGAGAAGGGGGAAAATGATCTTACATACCTTTGGCCAGTGTTCCTCATTGGCTAGCATGGAAAAGGAAGCGAGGTAGCAGACAGAAGGTTAATACAACAGTCCCAAAGAAGGAAGAGAAGCAAAGAGAAACAAAGACTTAAATGTCATTAGAAACAACTACATGAATCTTAAGAGATGGGGAGGATAAGAGAGCCTTGGAGAATGACAGAAGATGCTGGCTTATGTGAAGGGAAAAAAAACCACCTTGGGAAGATTATGGTGAAGTTGCTGGCCTACTAAATTTTGAGATTTCTAGTACAAGAACTAAGATATCAAAGTCCAATAGAAGCCAGGGACAGGAATACGAATTTATATTTTTGTATCTTTTATATATTGCTCTCTCAAGTTTCTCTGCAATCATCAATCTTACAATAATATTAATGATTCTTAGTTCTTACAAAGTGATTTATTTAGGGTTTCTGTTCTTCCTTTTCCTCTGTCTACACTTTAGGTCATTTCACTGCTTGTGAGGGTGGTCGGAGACAAAGTTCAAGTTAACTATTAACCCTTTGCTGTCAGAGCTACTGTGAGATATGTTCTGGGAGTAGCTGAAACCTAAGAGCTTAAAAGATGTTCTGCACCTAACAATGAATTTAAGTATTTCTGACCCCAGATACCCTTCCCCAGTTAACTGAGAGTCACCTCTCTCCTTGATATCACAAGCATTCTGGTGAACCACATGTCTAAAAACTAGGGCTGTTTTAAAGTCTAGGGAAGGGCCCTCTTATCGGCACTCCTGAGAGACGTGATTTGTGCAAGAGCATTTTGACTCAAACCTCAAGGTTACAAAGGATCTATAAATAAGCCCTATGGGTACAGAAAGTCTAAGCCAACCATTCTTGCCCTACCACATATATCTAAGTCAGGGTCCTTATCTTCTAAGGACCAGGGTCATCACTTCTAAGCTGTGAGTGATCAAAAGTGTATGCCCAAAACACCAAAGGAAAAGGAGCCAGGGAGGCGCAAAACTGCCTGTAAGCACTGAAAAACGGTACGTGGAATCATGACTTTGCCAACACTTACACAATTTATATTAGGATTATGCACAAGAGTCATGATTCTTTCAGACATTACACAAATATGACCTCTCTGCGTTAAACTGGCGGTGTCTACAGTACAAAGATAGATCTTACTGGTTTGTCTTTTCTAGAGAATCTAGTGCTGCTAGAAAGGGAAGCAGAAGATGAACGCTCTTTGTTTACCCATGGAAGGCACATCCCAGGCATTGTAAATGCAGGTTTTTATCCTCTGACCTTGGCAAGAGATGCCAAGGTCTTTCTGGCTCATTTAACCCTTGTCTTCTTAGCAGACACAGCCCACTATCAGTCCAATTAATTGAGGCCTCTGACTGGGGAGCTCCTTTCTGGGAACTGCATCAAAGGTCACTCAAAAATACTGAACACAAAACAGAACAACAAAAATAATCTACAGTACTGGTAACTATGGCCCAGGAATCGATATAAAGCAATGACTTAGGGTTTCCCATTTAAGTATTTTGACTACTTTGAAGGACAGGACTGATGAAATATTAGAATGGGTTACTAAGGCCGGTACAATAACATCTCTTTTGTGGGCAGGGAATAGCAATAGTATAGTTGTAGTCCTGACTAAGGCAGACAAAGGGTCAAGATGACCTCCTGAGCATCTAATAGCTCTGAGATTGTGTGTGCACACACAAAAATTAGTATGCTACTCCACTCACTCTGCAACCTTTCTAGCCTGGAACTATAATTCAGGGACACATTATCATGTGGAGAAAAGGACCTTGGGATATATTAGTGACATCAAAGAACCATTTCAGTACCTTGTTTATGAGCTTAAGCCCTGAGCTATTAAGACCTATTTAGACTTGCGTGGTGAGAGATGTTGCTGCTGCCGCTGTTTTTTCTACCCTCCCTAACACTACGGTGGAATGTCCGTGGGAAGGTCTGAAATATGATAATGAAGTTCTTTAGGAATTTGTGCTTTGAGGAGCCTGCTTTGACAGTGACCTTTGCTTCCTTAGTTGGAGATCCCCTCTTCTCAAAAAGTCTGTCGCTACCTCCCTCCTTCCTGGAAAGTCTGCAGCTCCCAGAATCAGTCACATTCTGGCCTTGCTGGCAGCAGGAAGACCAAGACACTATTAGGAACACCTTGGCAACAGCAGAGCTCTGTTCTGCTGAATGATGCTCAGATGCTTCCTTTTACGTGGTGTTCTGTTCACTGTACCGTTCACGGATGGCCTGGCAGGCTCAGGGCAGAAATGCTGCATTAAGCCTTTCTGAGTCAGCTTTGCCGGAAGCATCGGAAAGTCAGCTTTTGACTCGGCACACAGAACTCTAATAAGAAATCTCACTCTCCCCCCCCTTTCTCAGAGAACAACAACAACAAAACTACTTTCAAGGGATGGAGGAGTTAGGTCCTAGGACAATGGGAGGAGGGAAGGAGAAGAAACATACACAGAAAGCAAAAGTAACAGCAGCAAGGGAGAGATACAAAAAAGGTCCTCACCTCTCTTCCGGGTCCCAGGATGCATTGTGCTGTTTAGGTATGTGACTGCACTCTTCTTACGCTTTGAGGATTGAAGAAGAAAAGGTGACTGGTTGAAGAGCATGGTTATTACTAACACTGGCCCAAGCTAAAGACCAAGCACAGCATGCCTGTCAACATGCCAACTAGTTAGTGCTTATCATCCTAAGGTCTCAGTACTAAAGAGTTTATTATATGTACTTGGCTGTCACAGACTATTTCAGAGAAGTCTGCCTCTTCTTCAGTTAACAGTTGCATTGAGGTCAGGATTATTTTAAATTTTAAGGTAGGTTTGTATCTGCTTCAACTTAGGAAAAAACGCTAAGGGGTAAGCACTGAATAATAAAAGTAAAATAATGTGATAAGCCAGAGAAAAATCCATCGCTTTACAGAGCTGACCAAGTACAACCAGGTGCTGCTCTTAAGCAGTTTTCAGATGGGAGGTCCTAAACAAATCATAATTATAACTGGAAAAGTGGGGGAAGGGCCAAGTGCTGGCCAGGAATACCTCTGGCTCAAAGACTGCTCCACTGTACACTGGATTTGCTGTTGTTCTTCTTTTTCGTTCTTGCCTCTTGCTTTGGATTTCTTGAGAAAACAAAAGGTTTTGATTAGAAGAGAGGTATGGGGAACATAAAATATTTAACTTTGTTGTTTTATCTATTGGTTTTCCCATAACAAATCAGAAACAGGGCCAAGTATCCGTTTCATTTCATTGTGAGAGGCAATCATACTACTGGAAGCAATTATGTAGGACCATCTATCCCCTTCTTTCAGAAAGCAAGACCATACTGTCCCACAATATGGTTCTCTGTGATCAAGAGCTTAACAGTAGGCAACATCTGTAAACAAGTTGTCCTGCTTTATTTGTATTATAGATTCTTGTATATATAGGTCTGAATAAACATTATCTATATACTTAGATTGAGTAGCCAAAGTTCACCGTTCTTGAATAAATAAGCAGGACAGGTATGCTTTCTAACTGTCCTTAAGATTCTGATAACCTGGAGTGATTGAAAAATACAGACAAAGACTTGTCAAAGGAGCATTTATCACTCTGTACTCTCAGGGAAAAAAAAAAAGAGCTTCCCTAAAATGAACAGAAGTCATCTTAATTCAGCCAACTGGGGAGGTTTTCCCAGGACAGAAGTGTGGATAATGAATGATAGAAAGGGGAAGGCCATATTAGACAGAGGGAAGGCAGTTTGTCCTCTAAAGGCAATAAAGTCCACACTAGTTGAATCACACTCCATTTGTGTTCCAATTTTCTATTCCAGGAATTCAATCAAACAACATTTTCAGGAACAAAGCTGTGGGCCAGAAAAAAAGGCAGTACCAAGAATATCTTCTCTTACCTTCTAGATGGTCATGTGTTACCAACCCTAGAGACACCATAAAGGCAAGTTTCTGTGCCAGAGAAACAAAAGAAAAATATACTTCAGTCTGGGTTCTCACAAAGCCAATGGCAAGTTCCTAGTAAGACACTAGGGAAAGCCAGCCCAGCAGGCTGGTTGCTTGACGAGGCTGGATTCAGGTGAACTAAGCAGGCATGCTCCACTATTGGTAGCTATGGAGACACTCCCAAGGCTTTCTGGTCCAATAGGGCCAAAGAGAAAGACTGGGGCTTACATCTCCTTTCTTAATGACAGAAATCAGTACCTTACATGACCTGGTGGTTGTTGTTGTTTTTCCAAAAAAAAATCCCCATAGAGAGATTTCATATTCAAAAAATGTGCAGAGGGTTTTAAAGAACCTCCCACATAACAAGCTCCAAATTCCAAGTGCGTCACTGTCATGACCAGGTCAGAGTTTCTTACATGTTTACACTGCCACTGACTGGACAATGCTCACAGGAAGTTAAATGAGGTTTAGGAATGGTAGCAGTGGGTCTGCTTACTACTATAATTTTTCAATCAAACATGAACCTAAAAATTAGGAAGCAACTTCTCTCTGAAGGTCACTCTTAGGGCTCCATCAGAAGCGAAGTTGATTAGAATACTTCATCCCAAGCCAGGCTCAGTGGCTCAACCTGTAATCCCGTGCCTTTGGGAGGCTGAGGTGAGTGGACTGCCTGAGCCCAC